ATCATCATCATCACACATCATTATCATCATACGTCATACATCATACGTACTTATTGTAAAGCACTATATCTGGTTTCCAGACCATGTGAGGTTCAACACGGAAGGTTTGTAAGCCACCAAACTCACTCTCATTCCATGTCAGCCATGGGTCATGCCATTCCTAGAAAGAACACAACATACACWAAGACTAAGAGCAGCATTTCGCGTGAGAAGTAAAAATATACAGTACGTTGATGTTGATAATAGTGCCCTTTATGATTCCCTTCACGACTTCTCTCTGTTCTGTGTAGCTTTAGCTTTCAATGCCCGTTATAAGGAGCACAAAACACTGTTAGTATCAGGGATTAAAAGGTTTAAGGTGCAGCTTTGAGCGCTTCATRCATGAGATACGAGAGAATTTGGCAACCACCCCCCGCGTTATTAAAGTAAAATAAATACCTTTACCTTCGCCATCTTGATAGGTAACCGAGRTGTTAAAGAAAGTATATAACATTGCAAGGTCACCGCTCTCCTCGCTTAGATTCACCACTGTCTATACATCGGTTCACTTATTAAACACAAAGCATTCAAACGAGGCTGCGAGGTTCATATTTAAATAATCCTTTCAAAACTACCTTGAAGCCTCGAGTGAATGCTTTGTGTATGACCAGTATAGCGATGTATGGATGGTGTTAGATGCACGATTTCATTTCAAGAACTGTGAAGAGGTCGACTCTTCATTTAATAAACAGAAAAATAATAATAATTATGATAAAAACACATACAGAAAAATAGCTCTTTTTTACACAAAACTCACCAATCGAACCCATAGATTACTTATAAGAATTTGCCTCTTTTCTTGCTGCAAAGAGAAAAAAATCAAAAACAAAAAAGTGGAATGCATAAAGATTATTAGTATATAAATCGTAATTAGAATTATTAATTCATATAAAAAATCGCACGACACCTCGAGTATAATTGGATAGGTAACGGTATTAGGTAATAGTCCCCTTCACAGTTCCCGGTTTGCAGCGATAGAGACCTTTTTTTAAACACATTTGACAATTATTCACTTTTCTCGCGTCTCATTGCAAATTCACCGTTCGTCTTGCTTTGATTTAGAGGCACGGCTACCTTTCAAGATGGCGTTCAGGAACTGTGAAGGGGACTATTGAACCAACATAAGTATATTACTCTCTGTCTCCAATGACAGGTAATGTCATATATCGGAAGAAATATACAAGATATTCCAAAAAAAAATACTTGCTAGTTCCGATCACCCTATACTACTCATAAGGTGGAAAACTAGTGAAAACTAGTGTAAACTGCGTCGGTGTTTTCAGTAAAACAGTTGATAGATAGATAATTTGTAACGCCGTATGGTATGTAAAAATGAAACTGACGTTTCGGACGTTAGTCCTTCATCGGAGTAAAGTTTACTCCGATGAAGGACTAACGTCCGAAACGTCAGTTTCATTTTTACATACCATACGGTGTTACAAATTATCTATCTATCAACTGCTATACTACTCATGCTTATGCAAAAGGAATTTGATGGTTGCAATGGAAAAAAACAGAGGATTTTACACTTACCAAATGTACAATCTGACTAAAACCAATATCAAAGATAACTGGCACCACGTCAGTTACATGTCTCACGGGCCGRACTGCGTTGCTGTAATTGGTGAATAAAAACGTAAACAAGCGATACTCGGGGTTACCAGTCTTGAAGTTGGCATCATGACCTAGAAAAAGGATGTATTGTAAAAGCAACACCCACTACGGTCAATAGATGAGTGTTTTGACTTACAAAACAAGARACCACACACACAGGGAGTGTGTGGGTCCGAGATTATTCATCATGAAACAACATGTAAAATAGAGTACCGATAAACAAAAATAATCAGTAGATACAAAAAGATAGCTGAGTAATAGAGAGAAAGTAAGAAATGACGGGAAAAGATAAAGAAAACGAAGAAAARTGCCTGAAAAGAGCTAGGTTTCAAGATCCGATTATGGGGTTTTAATTTATATAGTTTCATGCAGCAAAGTTTCTTTTTGTTTTTCCAACATGATTATTTTAAAATCCCCTGTTGGTATTGTATTAAATAAATCAACAATTAATTCGTGGGTTCAATTCGAATCCCGCGCGCCACCAATACATCTCCCAATAATACTCAGAATATTATCGTTATAAGCACCGCAACTCAAGTCTCCCCAATTACTACAGCTTATGGTCTACGCATGTGCACCTCACTTCCGCTTCCCTATAATTCCATAATTTCTATGATGTCACCATTACGTCATAAAGAAAAGGCCGCTTTAAACTAATTTATAATTTTTGAAACCTTTAATCCTTTCCTGACATTGTGTGAAAAGCGCTTGCAGATCGAGTTATTCAAGACGAAGTTGTAGCCGTTTCAATGCGGCTAGGTGTGCCAGACAAAAGCCGCCCACAACCTCCTTAAACTAGTAAAGATAAACCCCTTGGGGAATTAATAACTTTCTTGAAATTCAAAATTCCTGTTTAAAAAATGCATATAGTTGTAATTATAGGTATTACTAGGACGACTGTAGAATATCGAACTTACCAGCCAATGAATGCACTTTACGGGAAAGAAAAATAACTCCCAGCAACAGAAGATGGCGAATCAGTGGTTGCATCATGTTCATCTTCACTTTGAAACCAAAATGTTGGATGAAAAAATTGAAGCTATGAATAAAASAACATCTTAGACGCTTTTAAGATCATTTTTCAATCACCCAAACAACTTTGCTTGATTACAATTTGAAAATCTTGCTAGCATGAGCTGTGGCTTATGTTAAATCTGTACTAAATGAAAACTCCAGCTTAATTTGCTTTAAAAAAAAGTCAAGCTTGTTACGACGTAAGTAAGCTTAATTTATTTTCATTCTACAATTGCCTTGGACCAATTGCTTTGGCAATTTTTTAAAGTAGCGACAGCACTTACTTTCTCTTTATATATATTAAGTTTGACCAGGCAGGTTTGATTGGCTTGCCAAGAGCAATATTCTTTTTTCCTCTGTGCTTACAGCATAAGTTTGACCATCTTTATCAGAATTACAATGATCGCGAAACTCGAAAGCACCTCGATCGSCGTGGTGTTGCTTTCCAATTTAGAAAATCAATATTTCAAATGGTTCTTTTAGCTTGTCGTACATCAACAGGAAATAACTTTCTCCCTTGATATACAGCCTTCTAATTGACTTTAGCAAAACCACCCAGCAGGACTACTAGTTGATTATGATTAAAAACTGTTCAATATGTTTGACTCATTAATTATTGAAGATATACTGTGAATTGAGCGGGAAACTCTTTCACAATCTGAGAACATAATATCCATCTTGAGTTTAGTATATGGCAAAAACAAAAACAAAAACAAAAAAAAAAAAACCAACAACAACAAACAAGCAAACAACAACAACAACAAAAAAAAACGAAATTCCGACTTAAAGAAAAAATTTTTAGTCAAAAAGCCGACAAATATGATTCTTAAGGTTGATCAAAGCTTTTGATTCTTCGTATGAAAGAGTTAAGAAATGCTCTATCAATGGTTTTAAAATTACAGTACCCTGCATTAATGCAGTTAATAAGATGGTGAGAGAGGACAACAAATGGTCCAATTCATGTCAGTATTGACAACCACGCAACCATTCGGAATTACACTGTAAGCGTAAGGAATCAAAGGTGATGTACATCTCTGATGATGCACATATAAACCCTATAATTAGTGACTTGAAATRGAAAGCAACTTCTGCTCTTATGATGTTAACCATCAATGAACGCATCTTGAATTATTGATAAGACATGAAGCAGAGCAAAAGATAAAATGCCTTCTTGTCTAAAGACGAAGACGAAGCAAAAAAGAAAAACAAGCAATTCTTTTTTATAGAGATTTGTTTATTTATATYATTTAGTTAATTCAAGATCGGGAGTACCGCACGGATCTAGAATAGTGTTTTATTGCATGGTATCAATCAGCTGAGTGAATCTCATTACGAACCTACGATACTGACAGGCTAACACTGCCCGTCATGTGCTATCATGCCAGATAGAAAAACTATGCAAACTCCAACCTCGGCTTGGAAATATCATTCATGGTCACTGAACGGAACTGTAAGATGGAGTATTGAAAGAAACAGATTACATAATCACGTGAACGTCATCGCGATCTACAAATAAGATCTACGTCATGTCCTCGTCGACCTGTCAACATAGCGATCTCTTTAATGACGTCTGAGTTGAGCTCTGAAAAAAAGATAGAAAAAAAGATTTAACCAATTAAAAAAAGACAAGGATTTTGGATTGCGAAGCTCACTTATGACTTGTTATCGATTTTCGACTTATTTTTTCCATGTTTTTTCATCGTTTAGTTACTCATGCCTTTTGTTTTCCATTCAATCATTCACTCGTTCGTTTGTTCGTTCATTCAATTAAATCTAATTTTTCTTTCTTTTTCTCTTCCTTTCTTTCTTTCTTTCTTCCTTTCTTCCTTCCTGTCTTCCTTCCTTGCTTTTCTTTTCTTTATCTTATTTCCTCCCTAATACCTTCCTAACTTTCACATCCATTTTATACCGTACACTACATTTTCAATGTYACAATGAAGAAATACGCAATGGCAAAAAAATCAACATCGAAGAAATACCTTTGTTCACTTTATCTAGATATCAGTGCACTCTTATTTTACCTTTAGAAAATCCGTTCTCTTGATAAAATTTCAAACACATTTCAAGTTCATGCATTGAATATTCTGGTACGCGAACACTTGTCAATGGAGTAACAGCAGATTCRCCCTTCTATAAAACAAATAAGAGACAAGAAAAACGAAAAAAAATAGTATAGAGTGTAGACTTGCAGAAACTGGAAACGCGTGACGTCATAGTCGCCAGATTTTGGGAAAGAGATAGAGATGGGAGGGCAAAATCCCAGAAAAGAATCGAAAACATTCCCAAGTAGTAGATAAATAAAATAATTTGGTGAGAAAGTTTATAAATGAAAGTGAAATATAGGAAAATGATGAAAAAGTGTTTATGTATGAGTTCATAGCTGGGGGAAGATAAAAACGTGAAGCCAATCTGTCTAATACTAGAGAACCTTCGTTTTGTTGAGCTGGAATGTATAACAAATACTGAAACAGGAATTCGTTCATCCAGTGAAGGAAGAACGTAATTGCAAAAGCATTGTCTTGATCCGTTTTTGATCAAGTATCAAGGTACGTGCACGTGACTACAATGCAAAGTCGCCATTGGTCATTGATCTCATGCATTATTAATGAGTTTGAGACATTTATGTAATGCGCAAGAATTTAATCATTATTGAATTATTAAAAGGGTATCATTAATTTATGTTATTGGTATTCACCTGTCCTAGAAGATCAGACACTTCATAAGATTTGCTGTGGTTTCTTTGGATTCCAGTTCGCGATAACGCAAAAACCATCACCGCATTTTGCTGGAATAGGAGGAAAGAAAATAAGAACATACAGCGTTGTGGTAAACGCAGACAAAACAATTTAAAATGATTGCCATAAATAATTATTAATATCAGAAACGCTTTTCCGGCGATAAGTTTAGACTCAATGATGAAAATACCCGGCCTTTMCTTTATTTTATACGTGCTGAAAGAATCATATAAAGTTAAATTCAAGAATATTTAGCTTTTTTTTGTGTGTGTTTTTTTTTTCCTATTTGCGGCACGTATTCGATTCTTAATCCTTTTAAATTTATTTYAACAGTTTCGTTGGATTTCAAAAAAGTATGTGTTATCAGTTGTTTACACTTACCAAACCTTTGTCAGCGTCTAAGAGTTTCGTGAAGTGATGGACAATGCTCAGCTCTTTGGGCTTTATCTAAGAGGTTAGTTACGAAATATAGAATCTACATTACCACGATAGATATGATTGAAATGGAAATAGTTAAAAGAAGCGATTTCCAAAAATTATGAATGTCTAGCACCGTATGGTGCTAAGTTGAGCAAGACTCTAAGATTTGAGGTAAAGATAAATAGAATATACTTGGCTATTTTAGTGTTGTTGTGTTGGGCTTGTTGGGCTTGTTGTTGTTTGGGGGTGGGGGGCTGATGGCCATATTGAAATTTCGTTTTAAAAAATTGCGCACTATTTAGCTGTTGATTTTGCCTTTTCCACCCCAGGTTTATAAAATTTGAAATTTGATTCGATATTTCGAAATATCATATCAGTGCATTGCCTAAACCAAATTGTTCAAATGAATTGCTAAAAAGTACGTAATAGGATAAAAAACGGTTWTATATATTTTATAGAAGAAAAAAATACTTATTGAAAAACGTCTTTGAATCTACTATTGCATGCCCTAACAAAGCGGTCCTTTGTTTCAAAGAGCTTCCAATGTGTTTTAACGATTTAAACACCTCCACGTATGAATCAATGTAAAATAGCCATACCAACCTACCCATTTATCTTTTGTATCTTTGAATGACGTCTTGCCAAAGAAGCCATTGAATTCGTCCACTGCAAATAAGAATTTCAAACTAGAAAGGAAATAAAAGTGAATGAAATAGTTATGCCAAGTTAGAAAATAATAAAGAAAACAGTCCCCTTCACAGTTCCCTGTCCCAYCTTGAAAGGTAGCTGYGCCTTTGCATTGATTAAGCGAGATGGGGAAAAAAAGGGTCACTATCATTGCAAGCTCACCATTCGTCTCGCTTCGATGCAAAGGAATGGCTACTTTTCAAGATGGCGCCGGGAACTCTGGAGGGGACTATTCTCAGTTAGAAAAATAAAATGGAAGAGACGTTTATTGAACCATTTGTATTGATAAAAATAAACTGTTTTTTTCGTTTAATGTTATTTTGTTATTTTGCTATGTTTTTCCTTCTGAAACACAGGCTTCACAAATTCATTCATCGTCACAGAGGTCCTTTATACTGAATCGAGCCAGAATGTCAAAAAATATAATTATACTATTACCTGGATTCTTTTTTGAGTTCTTTAAGCACTACGCCTACAACATCTGGTGCATAATCGATTCGTTTCAAACCCTAAACAAGAAAAACACGTATGATGGGTTACCTGCGGTTAAAAACACTACACATACTACATGTATAAAACACATTTCCCTGTGAGATAAGATGTCTAAACTCGAGTACTGTAAAATCTCTCCTTCTAAAAAGCCCGCTAAAGTCATTTAACGCAGATGTCCTTTCAGGCCCTCAATTCCCAAAGGAAAACGCATTCGCGTGGACAAGGCCTTTACCACTCTTTTCACTGCTACGCGGTGATCGAGACAACAGTCGTAACAGGGAATTAGGGAAATACACTGCCGCCAATCAGAGAATATAAAGGTACCGACCAATTTATTTGACTGACGGTGTGTATTGCCCAATATTCTCTTGAGTAAAAGTTTCTTCTAGTTTACGTTGTATCCATATTCATGTGTCTTTTCGTGTGCAACCACTAAACAAAGAAATTATACTCTAGAGAAAAACATGTAGTCTGAATGGGAAAACAGTGAATTAGGTCTACATGTATTTAACGGTAAATTAAATTTTTAGTTCTCTTTGGGATTTGTATTTTAATGTGTTTTAAGTAGGTAGTTCTACGAACCTGGTCAATAACGTTGAGTAGTGATTTTCCCTTTCCTGTGCTGTCTAGTTTACCCCATGTGTACTTCTCACTAGTCGTTATCTAATATTAAGTAGGTAGTTCTACGAACCTGGTCAATAACGTTGAGTAGTGATTTTCCCTTTCCTGTGCTGTCTAGTTTACCCCATGTGTACTTCTCACTGGTCGTTATCTAATATTAAGCAACAATTATAATTATAAAATAACTGTTATGAATGTCGCGTTCAGATTGGCTTAGAGCGTGTGCTTTATGAGAGCACATTGCACGCGCGCGCACTTTCCGTTGCGTCATTCCTATCTAAAATAATGGTTATTGTAATTTGTATTTTATAAAAGAAATAAAAAACTTGCTTGCTGTGCTGTGTGCCGTTATAAAGCACTTGGGGATTGGCAGAACACTCGAGAAGTGTCCAGAAGCACTCTGCTTCGTGTTCTGCCAACCCCCGCGTGCTTTATGACTGCACACAGCACGCGYACGCRGTTTCTGTTTCTTCATAAACAACTGACACAAATCTAACATGTTTTTGAAGGGTGGAATAAAGGGTTTTCTCTGGGTACTGTACTTCCGTTCCCTCCCTCCGTAAGAGGCTCRTGATATTGTTAAAGCATGACTCAATAAAAAGCCATTGTATGTAATACACTCAGCTTTTTGCCAAGTGAACCATTTCTTTGGTAATGAGAGGCCCATACCTTGCTTAAGTAATCTGTATTGATATCCCTAATGGTCTTGAGCCATTTGGCAGATTCCTCTGGCTGGTCAAACCGGTTTTCYCTTGATTTTGATAATTGAATACCATTTTTGCTATGGACCCAACTGAAAACTAACAGGAAAGAAAAGAAAATGAAATATATGATTTCAGATTAAAAAATATTGTATAAAAATGATTTATGATTGGTCTCTAGTTGAAAGGAACTCAGAGTCCATGATAGGAATTGACCTTTTGCAACAACAGGACCTTACGTGACCCTACCCCCAGTAAAAAGACATGTTGTGTCAAAATGAACACCAGAAATGGAAAGAGCACCTCGAAATTAGTAAGAAGGCAAAGTTTCAGCTTATGGCATGGACCACAGGAGAAATGTACTGGATAGTATGCTATGCCCTCCAGCGCATTTTGCCATGCAAATCCTTACAAAATATAATTTTTTATATTTAATGCTATTTCTACTATAGTCAACATCATAAGCTAAAGCTTTGCCTCCTTACTAATATTGAGGTGCTCTTTCCATTTCTGGTATTTATTTTGACATAACGTCTCTTCTTATGGGGGGTAGGGTCACGTGCGCTGTTGTTGCAAAAGGCCTATTGAACCCAAAACCTTCCRGATGCCAGTCAGATGTTATATAATTGTAAACTGGATCTGAAAAGCCCACTTGGGAGCTTCTAATAAAGCATATCGTATTGTATTGTATGTTCTAGCCACTGGGTTGCAGGAAAGATTCATGATGAGCAGTTCATTTACTGGGTTCATTATATTTGACATATGCATGGCCAAAAATACCTGTGAAATCATATAATACACATATATGCATGCATAGAAAGCTTGTGCAACCTGCAACAGTTTTGTTCATGAGATGTACAAGTTGCATGAGATTATTGTAGCTAGTACATAAAATATGCAAAAACATAACATCACATCTCACTAATTATTAAAACTAACATATAGATGATGAGGTACATGTATGTACAGCAGAATTTATTTTTTGTTCTTACCACTTGGTACCAATAAAATAAACATTCCTGTTTTCATTGCAGCATGAACCACTTGAGAGAGAGACAGAGTTTTGCCACAACCTGGTTCACCATCTTGGAAACTCATCAAGGAATAAAAACTTAGTATTTGAAGCATTGGAATCAATATTTGATATCAAGAAATTATAAATAAATGTTATGTCTTATTGTGTAAAGATTGTCCTTCCTATGTAAGGGTATTTTTTTATGGCAAAACTGTAACACATTTGTGGCCCTTGCTTCATCATGATCAAGATTGTAATAACTATTTAGAAGTTGATTTTTGTGGAGGGAGAAAGACAAAGAACCCAAAGAAAACTCTGGAAGTACAGGAGAGATCCAACAAGGAACTCTAAGTACTCACATGCGTGCAGCATCAGGTTTCGAATAGAACCTGGAACACATTTGTAAGCTCAGCGAGCACTATCATTTCTATGGCGTACGCCGCTAGTCTGTAATTCCCTTGAGTGAATGGCTTTGGTTCTGTGTTATTGTTTATTGCTATTGATAACTTTCAAATTATTATAATTGCAGCAATCAAATATTAGAGTTACCTCTTTTGCCTATTGAAGCAATTGATGTCTTTTTTATATAATGACAAGCTATTTTTTTGAAAAGGATACAAAACACAAATTTTGGTTGAGGTTCCCCTGGTGTCCATCCCTTCAGTTGCTCTATGACTTGTAAAGCTGGCTTTCTGACCATCAGATAGAGATTACCTTTCTATGATAAATACATTTACAAAGATTACAATCAAGAATAACCATGTGCCTTCTCAGCCCCTTTTTCCTTCAGTGCAGAGAGAGAAAGAGAGAGAAAGAAAGAGAGAGAGAAAGAGAGAGGGAGAGAGAGCAGCAAGCATCATTTGAGAATGTTTAGGTGAAGGGTAGATCATAAACTTACCTCAGAACCTGATCTTTTAAAGAATCTTTTTGGTAAACAGTGCAATAAAGTATTACTGACATCACTCTCTGGTAGACGGTAGAAATGACCAAGGTGRGCATTTGAATGCTGATTCTAATCAAGGATAATTCAAAGAATGCATATATCAATAATCAACCATATCTTATGATAGCCGTAAGTACAACATGAGCCGAGTGCATTGTGATCATGAGGGATAAAATATTGATGGTTTTCAACCATTCCCAAGAGAATTAAATAACAAAAGACACGGCGGCCATGTTGGAGGATATAACAAAAGAATTCATTGACAATTCTTTTGTTAAGTTCCTCCAACATGGCTGCTGTGAAAACCATCAATACTCAACAGCCATTTTCCCATGTTAGCTCAAGATTGGAATGCACTCGGCCTGTCACAAATTTGATTGATATTAATATCTAAAACACCAGATGTCTGGAGTYGGTTAGGTCACAGAACTGCAAAAAGGGCTGTAAAAGTTTTTTTCCCGCATTTTCTGTCGCTCTGAATTTGTAGTCTACCACAGGGAGCCCAATCAACTGGGTCCCAAAAAACATTCACAGATCGATGAACAAGGTTCACGAAATGTAAACGGATACTACTATGAACCAAACAATACAGCAGTAAAGAGGTACACAATTTCAAAAAGCAGTGAAATTGAGAAAAGAAAAACACATGGCCGATAAAATTTTTATTCCGCGCACGTGTGTGTGCCCTGGTAATTCAATTTTTTTTACCGGATCATTTTCTTGTATAACAACGGAGATTTCTGGATTTCTTTTCGTAGCCGCRTTTGAGCTGAACACTCGCCATATATTCTGGGTGATCACCTTCTAAAAATTCAATAAAGCAAAATAAATATTTTCAAAACTATTCASTGAGCCTTTTTATGCGTCTTCACTTTACCTGAGAAAAACACGTTCTACCGGGATTCAAAGACTTCATAAAAACACCTATAACAAAAGCATATCATTACCCTTAATACAAGATAGTCTAAGATGAGATTTTTCTTATAAAAAGAAACAAAATTAAGGTTTTTTTTTCTTGCTTAAAAACTCTTACCTGCGGCCGCCATTTTCTTGCGCACAACATCAGTACGCACATGTTATGATGTAGCACCGCTGGATAAAAGTACTTGAGCCTGCGTTTGTTAGAAAAACGTGAAAAACTGAAAAAATATTCTCTTGATTATTTTTCCTTAAAAGACTATGGCTGGTGGAGATAAGAAGAAAAAGAAACGCTCAGAAAGAAGTAGGTCGCGTTCTCCAAGAAGAAGAGACAGATCACGTTCACCAAGGCGAAGGAAAAGAAGAGATTCTTCAGCATCGACTTCATCGTCTTTGTCAGAAGATGAGAGACGAAGAGAAAARGGTTACCAAAAGAACAGTGGGAAAATACCCAAAGATAAAAAGTAAAGACTAGAAGATATTCAATATCTATTTATTAATACTTAATGTGTTTAAAAAAGGCTAAAAGAAGCGAGTGTAGAAGTGTTTTTTCTTTTCAGATCAGAGTAAACGTTTTTCATACGTTGTTTACGAAAGCTTCCTTGGGTTCCATCCATGTCACTATTTCTTCCTAAGTTTCTGGTACTCTAAAAGCATAATTTAATATGGTGTAAAAGGGATTAAATTATTCTTTGTTTCTATTTTTAGGAAGGAGAAGGAATACTATAAAGCTCATGAGACGCCAGAAGAAAAACGAGCTAGGAGACTTGCAAAGAAGGTATGTATTAGGTGACTGTAATGTGTGTAAGTTATATATCTCGCACTGCGTAGAACTTTTAGTTAATTCCAAACGTACACATTTGATTGAAGTGAACTGCTACGTAACTTTCAGTCAGTATAATGACAATAAAGCGATAAAAAAGCTGATAAAAGTATTTGAATCTCATTATCTGGCCAAACACTGACCTCCATGTGCTGTCAATCAGAAAGAATACTGCTGAAAAGTTGTGATTCAATTGGTGAATGTTCGAGATGAGATAGGGAATGAGGTGCAAGTGAAACCAAGCATTTATATGCACAAGTCTTTTCGTCATTTCATTGTTGCATGGTCCTTCCGCCCCCTCCCAGCTCCCCCCCTCCATCCCAACTATCTCTCCCCCCTTCCCTTGTAAAACACACTTTCCAGAATAACCCGGTTCTGGGGAAGTCCCCACCAACTTTTGGTACTGTGATTCTTTTGAGATTATGACTCATGCATTGTAGTTAGTATTTTGTCATAAAAACTGGTAAACCATTGCATATCACCATTATAGTACCATATATTAATTTAACCAAATTTTGTTTTTCAATTTTAGGAAGCAAAGGAAAGAAAAAGAAGAAAAGAAATGGGTTGGAATGATGAATATGAAGTAAGTAGATCTAAATGTGTGTGGKGCGCTGTTTACTGATGGGCTCCCTGTGGAGGGTAAGCCACAGGTATCCCATCTWATTGAGTACATGTAATTTCTTTATAATGCAAGTGAGATAATGAATGCCTTGTTTATAATGAGATTTTTTTGTTTTTTGTTTTAGGGATATACCAATACTGACAATCCCTTTGGAGATGCACATCTACTGGAAACATTTGTGTGGCATAAGGTATACTTGCTAGTAATTTTTAATTGGATTTCTTTATGATCAGGGAGAGATATATTATATTCTAACTAAAATAATAAGGTTGTGGAACATAGAAATTATTGGTTACTAATTTAGGAACCATTCATTTTTTACTAGGTCATTAAAAAATTAATTAAGGGGGGGGGGGGGGGGGGGGGGGGGACACACATAAAAATCAGAGTTATACAGCAAGTTTTTAAAACTTCAATCTTTTGTCAACTAACAGAAAAGAGAGAAGCAAGGAGAGACTCATTTGACTGAGGAAGAAAAGAGATTTACTGACAAGAAAAGACAGATGGACACAAGGGTAAGATTGTCTACGACATAATCAGTTTTGAGTTCTCTGTTGCTGATGGCAAACCTCAATTCCTTGTAAAACGTTCACCTTTTCCAGTAAAAATCTGTGGAATATATTTGGAAAAGGAGCAGCATTTGAATCAGCTGCTAATGCAGTAATAATGCGTTTGTTTGATAAACTTTCACAGTGCACCCCTCACCTGAATCCGCCCCTGTATGAAACAGGCTTAACTTATGAAAAACCTTTTTTTTTTCTGGTTTGCAGAAACAATTGGAAAGAGTAAGAGAAAGAAGAACTGTAAGTAATTACATCATTTTAATATAATTGATAGATTGACATTAATTTTTGATAGTTACTTAATTATTTCTGTACGGCTTCAAAAATTTTGAAAAATAGATAACAGAAATGTACATGATTCATGTGTATTTTTAATGCAGGAGAGGGAACGTGAAATGATGCTTCGTGAAGAGGAAAAGGTAAATTTAGAAACATTAGAACTGTAGACTCACTTACTGTAGCTCTGACTCAAGTGGTTACTGGTGCAATGTTTTTTCATTACAGACCACATGCCTTTTCCAAGGCTAGAGTATCTGATTGAATTAATTTAGTTTAATGGTTACACATGAGAAAATACATGAAGAAGGATGCATCTCAAACAACAGAATCTTATTAAAAGAGAAATCAAAAATTGAAAATCGAATCTTATTAAAAGGATGACATGTTGTCTGTCATGGAAAAAGATTGCGTCAAGAGGAATAAGGTCTATGATGATTCTCGCAAACTGCATTGCACATACTAATACGCATAAGTTCTATTATGATATCTCGCAATTAAACATATTAATCTAGCTCATACACTGAATCGAAATATAGCAACCAATTTGAATAACTATTGTTCTGCACTGACTAGCGACTGAACAGCCTCGTGTTCACGTGGAAACATAGCATTCTCACATGTATGATAGGCTAGTCAGTCGCTACTCAGTCCAGAACAATACAGCAGGGTGTAGTTATTCAAATTGATCGCTATATTTCGATTTGGTGTATAGACTGATATAGCTTATATTTGACCACCAATTTTAATTTTGCAATATATTTTTTGAATAGGAAAGAATGCAAAGAGAAAAAGAATCAGAATATTACAGTGAATGGGAAAAACAAGAAGATAAGGTGAGTGAATGGATAATATATTGATATTAAACAAAAGCATTAAATAAATAAACCATGAAATAGCAATAATTTTTGACTCTTATTTTGTATCATTATCTTGTAGTTCCATCTGAATCAAGCAAAGCTACGGTCAAAGATAAGAATTCAGGACAGGAGAGGTATGGTGCATAACGTTTTGATTGTTTTGATTCTGCAAAATAGTGTATATGTAGTGTACATATGTAAATATTAATTACCATTATATAATAGTTTTATAATCATTATTCAATAGCCCTTTTCTTTTTTTTTTTTCTCTCGAAGATATTAGCTTTGTAAGCTACTCTGAAATTCGAGGTTAAATAAAGTTTATGTAATATGTATGTATGTATGTATGATTGTTTACAGTATTATTACGTCCATGATAATAGTAACCAGCAGTAGCATAGGGTATAAGAGAGCAAGAAATAGAGACATATTTTGGAGGAAAGATTAATCTAAACTTTATGGGATAATCGCCCATGTGCTATGCCCTTGATAACCATTTATTGAATCACTCTGACATTGTCTTGGATAATATACAAAATTGCAGTAATTGCATAAAATGGTCAGATGAGGTATGTTGATTGACACTGAAGTTGGCTGACTATCGGCTAATTACCAGTTGACAGGTACTGCACTGGTACTGTAAGGTACTACTGGCAGCATGTTCACTGCACGGGTACTGCAAGGGCACTGAACAGGACCATGTGCACTTGAAGAAAGTTAACCAATCATGACATAGATAAAAAAAGGGAATGAAACATAGTAAAACATGAACCAACCAGGAACAAGCAACGAAACCAAGATATCTGGAAAAGAAAAGAAAAACAGAAAAGTTATCAACAACTGTGTGTTGAATAAGAGATCGTGATTGGCTGAGGTCAATATGATTATACTAATTTTGCTCTCTGCTGATTGGCTAAAGTTTTTTATTTTTGTTCAAGTGGTCCCAGTTGGACCGTGCTTCACTTTTTACTTAACATTGCTTTTAAAATTATGATTATCATTTTTGTGGTTATTTTTTGACAGCAAAACCTATTGACTTATTGGCTCAGTATATCAGTGCTGAGGAAGAAGATTTAGATATAAAGATGCATGAACCATATACAATCCTTGTGGTAGGTTTATTATTTAACAATTATTCGCCAAAGGCGAGGTGAATATTGGGCCAGGAATATTTTACTGAGACAAGAGTCTTCGAGAGGTGAGGTAAATTTATGCTCCAACAACCCTAAATTTAAACTTGGATTTTTGGACTAGCCTAAACATACACATGATTTGAACAAATTTATAAGAAACATGATCATGTATATGGTTAAATGAACAAAACAGAATGTACCTTAACTTCAGGATCAATATTCTTTATTAAAATGTACATTTTTCAGCTTTTACAACATTTTACTTATCATCATGGATTTTTTTATGAAAAAATGTACAAAATTCCATTACATTGAGTTTTCCTTTATTAATTTTCTACTTTTATTGCAATTTTGAACAATTCTTGATAAATATGACAAGATGTCGACATATGATTCATGTTTGTGTTCAAAACATGGGTGTTCAACAGAAACAATATTTATATGTGAAAGAC